ACTAGATGGACCTTTGATCTGACCCAGTATGGCCGTTCTTATGTAGTGGTGGTTTAAAGAGGTGGTTAAAGAGGGGATCAAGAACAACAAGGAGTCCAGTGGCACCTTAAAGACTAACAGATTTATTTGGGCATAAGCTTTCGTGGGTAAAAAACCCACTTCTTCAGATGCAAGGGGATCAAGGTGTCATTAACCTAATACAATATCACTGGGGAAATTTTTAGTGGGAGAGTCTAATTTGCTGATTTGGGCATCATTAAGTGTCCTATGAGTGACATTACAGCACCAAGGGAAGAATTAAATGTTTGTTTTAAATGATACCAAAATTTAACAAGCAAAGTTAAATCAGTTTTAAATGTGTTAATAAATATACTGTCTATGATGTAATAGAGACAGTCTCAACTCTTGAATTTTATAGAACATTTGCATAATCTTAAATAATTATAAAGTTTTTATGCCGCTTTATTTTAACACACATGGGGATATTTTCAAAGACACAAATGGCGGATAGGCATCTAACTCCCATTCACTTTCAATGGGAGTTAGATGCTTATCATATATATCTTTAAAAACCTCCCCCATTGTAGGTATAATTCTGTAGTGTGAAGATGAAGATTACAGCAGCATGAGTCACGCTGTATGACTAACCTCTCTGTGTGGGGGAATCACCTGCTGCCTTTTTTGGCCACATTATGAAACGTTTTAATTAAAAGATCATTTTAGCAATAAACTGTGAAGATGCAGCTAAGGTCAGTGCCAGTGTATGCTTCGATCTAAGTGTTTGCAGGCTTATTTGAAGCATTCCAAACTATAGATCTTGTATACATGGTATTAACTACACTGGTTGAATTTTTTTAAAATAAAGTCTGAATACAATTATTGTGCATTCTAGGTCTGTGCTTCCTACATACAAATAAGGCCAAATTTGGATTATACCTCTAAACATTCTAGAAACAAGTATCAGCATTGGTTTATATCTTGGTTCATAGGTTTGAATAAAAGGTAAATATGAGCTGAATCCAGACATGGGAGGCAATGTCTGAGAGGGAAGTGATTCTAGACAAAGCCAGGACCTCCCAGGCACTGATCAGCATAGAGCAGAGTGCACAGCAAATGCTGGTCACCATGCAGCCCAGCCTATAGGAGGGGATCTAGCAGATGTCAATCTCCATATCTCTGCACAGGTTTCAGCAGAAACTTGTGGAGACAATTTAACTATTGCTACATTTCACTGCGTAAAATTATAAATCTTGTTGTTTGTCTTAAAGCAAAGGTCCTAAATATTCTGAGTAATTCTGAGTATAAATGAGTAGCGGGGAAATCTATTTAGAAAGATGATGTTTCTGCATATTATAAGTGGATTTTTTTCTTTGAATGGCCTCTGCATATTCCCACTTTTGGGGTGCACTGACTGCTGCTTAGACTAGTGGAATGTTCTTTGTAGCAGCATCCATTGGAGCCCTCTTGCGCCCCCTGCCCCTCCCCTCCAGGCTCTGAATGTTCAGGGGGCGGGGCTATACAGTGGAAGTATGGCATGACTTGCCAACCCACTCTGTACCTTTCATTGCCTCCCCGAGTCTATAATTGAAATTAGGGCTCAGAGGAAGAGAGGAAGGTGGGTGTGATGTGTGTGCAGAGGTCATTTTGAAGAACCCCAATTACAGGAGCGTAACCTTCATTTCTTGAGTTAATTAGATCAGACATTGTATTCCTTTTTCTCCTACCTGCAATAGCTCAGCAGTGAGCTACTTGCATTTAGTCCCATCAGTTCGCTATTTACAGTCTGCTAAGGTTTGTGTAAAAGCGAACCATAAATCTTATTGACTGGCTGGACTCAGTTTTATTCTGTGTGTTGTGTGCTCTTTGAAAGGACAGTGTTTATTTTTTAATCTCCTGCTTTTCTACAGTATTATTCTAAATCTAATCATACACCAGGCTTAGACTATGTCCATGGTGGCAAAAATATGCTCTAAAATGTTAGCGGTACAAAGCACATAAAGTTTAGGATTTTTATGCTGAGCGTCAGGCAGGGGAATCAGCTGGTAGAGTTAAATCTTTTGCAGTTCTGATTTTTTAAGATTTTTTGCCAAGAATGGAAAAAATAATATCTCTATGCTTTTCTGTTAATAGAAATGACATAATACATGAGGTACAGCATTTTATGTCTTATTGTATCAATTTATTAAAGCCATGTATTTACACTGTATTGGGGATAGTGACATTTCTGCATTCATTGCTTTACACTGTAGTGTGGATATTCGCATTTCTGTATTCATTGCTTGCACTGATGTGAAAAAACAAAACAAAAACAATGGCCAACAGATTCTTGGTGTTTGAGGGCTGGCTGCCATCTCTCCACCCTTGGCCAAGAATGCTTTCCACAGAAGTGCAAAAAGAGCCCCTTGGAGAGGGGGCTTAAACTGCATCATACCCTTTGCATCAGTTAAGTGCATTCCAGGCCTTCCAATCCAGCAGCAAGATTTGCAGCATAGATCGTGTATTTTCAAGGGCAGCAGGGCTTGGTTGAAACGAGGATCTCTCTGAGATCATTAAGGTAATAGTAAATGGGAAAACTGTCAAGGCAAGTTAATTGTAAAGCCTAATGATTTTGATGTTAGCCCTTTAGAATGAGGAAAAGCACCCTTGGCCCTATGTCTGCGCTAAAGTGCTTTAATTTTTGTCTCTGGAGAGCTGAATTGAGCATCTTGTGCATTTAAAAGCAACCTGTGATAAATGATTCCCTTTGTGAAAAAATCGGCTTTCAGAATCCTGCTGTAACATTGGACTGCAGCAAGGGAGTTATACAGTAAATCTGCAGATAATGGTTCATGCTGCTCCTTCCCCCATAAGCCTTTATGAAATATTGCCGACAAGCAAACATTTAAATGCTCAGAAATAAATGAATGAGCAAACATTCCTTGGCATCTGTCTGAATGGAGGAGGGGTAGTTTGTTTTTAAAAAATGAGAAAGTCCTTCTGTAATGGCCACTCTACCCCGGGGCTAGCAATTCATCTTGTAGCACAGGTGGGAGCATTCTGAACCAGGACTGTGAAGCGCTAGGGTTAAAACGCTGTTGCTGATGACCTGGGTAGGGGGATGTCATGTTTTATGTAGTTTTCACAGTAAGAAGGTATCTTTAAAACTGGTTTTGTACTTTAAAAACGATGACAATCTAAATCATAGTATGAATCACCAGATAACCGGTATTGGATGAAATATCAATTTGTCACTTGTTTTGCTTTGCTGATGTTACATATTGGCAGGTTTGAAGGTGAAGAGGTAGGTTTCACACAGGCAGGGACAGGGGACCCAGAGGAAAGGAGAGCACGGTAAACAGACCTGCTGACAGACTGCTGCTGCTCCTTGCTTTCTCCATTTTCAGAAGCCCCTTGAGAGGCTGCTGTGTGTTTCAGGAAATGAGTGACAACACAGAGTCCTTCTTGGAGGTTATCTCCAGCTGACAGGTTTTGTGGTTAATGCAAAATATGGTGGTTTGCTGTTTGACTACTTACTTTCAGTAACCTTTAAATGGAGATGAAATGTTATAGACCTAAAAAACTCAATGAAGTTGCAGCCTCTCATTCTCTTCAGAAAAGTTGACATTCTCAGGAGTGGCTTCAGCTGCACTGTTTCTCCCTCTGATTGCCAGGCACATGCACTTCCACTTTTCCCTGTCTCCCCTCCCTAAACGTGGGGACCTATACTGGGGAACACCAACCCTGGATAGAAACTAGGAAATTAACACAAACGCGTACTAGGTTTTATGACAGAAAAGGTCACATCACAACCCACCTTGTCTACTTAAATCAGAAGTTAAGGGAAATGTCTCCGGCATTCCTTTCCACTTTATTTTGCATCCAACAGTGCTGGTGACATGCTGCAATATTCCATAAGACTTTCACTTCCATCTCCAAGATAGCAAAAAAGTATTAGGTATCCAACTTCATCAAACCTGCCCTCTCAAATAAAACCTTCGCAGCAACCTCGGCAATGTTAGAGCAGATTAATTTCCCAAATACTGGGCATGTGTGACTGTCAGATGTGCTGATCTGTTGATTGATACAAGGGTGTAGAAGGTTACTATTAAGAGAGAGCAAGTGAGAGCTGGTATTTACTCTTTTCTGTTAATGTAAAACATTAGGATTTATGCCTCGTACTTCATGGATTATTTGATATTAAAATAGCAACTTTCTGAGATATAAAAACAGTATTTTGTGGTTTCTTGGTTATAATTTTTCTCCTCCAAAAATTGTTGTAAAGATCACCTAGCTGTATAGAAGGATGGTTAAAAATGCTAAATGTTATCAAAATAGTTCTTCTGTAGTAAGATGTGCCACATGCAAAATACAGGAAGAGTGCTGTGGTAGAATGGCTTTGTTGGCATTAACTAGCAGTGAACCGCTTTACTCACTTTTGGCTTCACCAGTAAGAAGTATTGCAGCCATTCCAAATGACCGCTGATAACACCTTTATACTAAAGCTGATCAAAACATTTTCACAGGGGAAAATGCAGTTAGTTGAATTAACATTTTCTGCATGAAAAGAGAGATTTCAGCAGAATTTTCCTTCATGAAGAACAAAACGTTTTGGTTTGGTTTGGCCATTTGAAACGACTCAAACAATTTAGTTTAGCTCAAGTTAAAACCCCCTTTTGCTGTCCGTGTGAACACAGTTTAACAGCTTTAAGATAGTTTTGTTTTGGTGGCACTGTACAAGAGGACAAGCTCAGATTATCTGGCTATGTCTACATGGAAGCTAAGGGGGTTTTCAGTGGAGCTCAGCTAACAATTGAAAAACGCACCTTTTTGCTCTTGTTGACACGGCCTTTATTTGTAATAAGTCTCTGAAATATAAATGCAAGCCCAATGGTCAAGTCAACTCTCTTTTTTCTGTGTGAGCACTCTAGCCTTCTAATTCATTTTAAGTGATGTCATAACCATAGCTGTATTGCCATCTAGCCCTAAATGGTACGTTCTTTCCCTGTGTTTCTTCTTTACAGTACGCTTTGCACCTTATAGACCTCCGGACATCTCCCTGAAACCACTGCTCTTTGAGGTGCCAAGCATCACCACAGAGTCTGTGTTTGTCGGACGGGACTGGGTGTTCCATGAGATAGATGCACAGTTGCAGAGTGCCAATGCCAGTGTGAACAGAGGGGTGGTGATTGTTGGGAACATTGGCTTTGGTAAAACTGCCATTATCTCCAGACTGGTTGCTCTCAGCTGCCATGGCACACGAATGAGACAGATTGCCTCTGATAGCCCACATGCCTCCCCAAAACGTAAGTACTGCTACACAGAGAGAGCTCTGAAATGCGTGAATCTCATATGTTTATGTGTTTAGCACCTTTCACCCACAAGGATCCCATTACCACTTCTTCCCATCCCCCAATAGACCAGTTCAGAGATTGTTGCCAAACCTGCCATAATGGGGCCCCCTGACATGGTTTACTGTTCATGTGCCAGACCTGGACAATGTGGAGCGTGAACTGGTTCATGCCAACTGAGGCCCCCTGAGGAATCAGGCTGTCTTTTCTTCTATTGCTCCCTGGCTTGGGCACATCCTGGGTTCTCCCAATGGCGTGCTTAATGGGAAACCTCCATCTGTTATTCCCCTAACTCGTTACCACAACACACATTTATGCTGGACACATTACCTATTCCTTCCTGTACGATTGATCTATCCCCATCTATTCTGGTATAGGAGCTTGGGGTGGGTCACACACTGCATCTTGAGCCTGGCAACTGCTTTTCCTCCTGCACACCAACACAAATCAATTCACCCTCCACTGAAATGCAGCCACCTTGCAGGTGGAAGGCAACAATAGCGTAATATCACACACACGACACTTAGAAGGGTAAAACAGGAATGAAGAGATACTCTATCCTACTAAAATTATAGTTAAACTTCTTGTTGGACAAATGCTGTTTGCTAGAATGAAATATTCTCAGCCACATATAAGCATCTGAAACGACACCGAATGTTGGTTTTCTGAAATATTGAATGTCACCTTCCAGAGCTAAATGGACAATGTGCAATGAAAGGCAGGGTTTGTTTATGTATTTTTACTAAAAGCCTGCAATGCACCTGCTGGGTGATTCTCTCAGTCTATTTAGAGAGATTGTGAGGGAGATTAAAGAAGCTATAGTTTAAATGTTTTCAAACTAAAAACCACACACACAGTAGAGACCTGGAGGCTTTGAATAGGAAAATGTTCTACAGTTCTCACATGCAAAGCACAGAAAAGAGATCCTTGTACAAACCAAACACACACAGGCTTTCAGTTCTTACTCTAGCGCTTCCTTGAAGTAGCAGTAAATTGGCTAGAGCCCCAGCTCTAAATTCTGGGAAATAAGCGAATCAAAAATTATGGCTGGGGTTATTTGCTTAATAAGGAGCTCTAAACTCCTCAGAATAAGAAATAACACATTTATTCTGAAAAAAGACATATATAGAATCATAGAAGATTAGGGTTGGAAGAGACCTCAGGAGGTCATCTAGTCCAACCCCCTGCTCAAAGCAGGACTAACCCCAACTATATGCAGAACTGCCACTTAGCCAGTCGGTCCCCAGCCTGTAGCAGTACATGGGATTCTTCCATCCTAAGTGCAGGACTCTGCACTTGTCCTTGTTGAACCTCATCAGATTTCTTTTGGCTCAATCCTCCAATTTGTCTAGGTCACTCTGGACCCTATCCCTACCCTCCAGCGTATCTACCTCTCCCCGCAGCTTAGTATCATCCGCAAACTTGCTGAGGGTGCAATCCATCCCATCATCCAGATCATTAATGAAGATTTTGAACAAAACCAGCCCCGGGACCAACCCTTGGGGCACTCCACTTGATACCGGCTGCCAACAAGACATCGAGCCATTGATCATACCCGTTGAGCCTGAGGATCTAGCCAGCTTTCTATCCACATTATTGTCCATTCATCCAGCCCATACTTCTTTAACTTGTTGGCAAGAATACTGTGGAAGACCGTATCAAAAGCTTTGCTGAGGTCAAGGTATATCACGTCCACCACTTTCCCCATATCCACAGAGACAGTCATCTCATCATAGAAGGCAATCAGGTTGGTCAGGCATGACTTGCCCTTGGTGAATCCATGTTGACTGTTCCTGATCACCTTCCTCTCCTCCAAGTGCTTCAAAATGGATTCCTTGAGGACCTGTTCCATGATTTTTTTGGTGACAGAGGTGAGGCTGTAGTTCCCCAGATTCTCCTTCTTCCCTTTTTTAAAGATGGGCACTATATTTGCCTTTTTCCAGTCGTCCCCGACCACCACGAGTTTTCAAAGACAATGGCCAATGGCTCTGCAATCACATCAGGGAACTCCCTCAGCACCCTCGGATGCATTGCATCTAGCCCCATGGACTTGTGCATGTCCAGCTTTTCTAAATAGTCCTTAATCTGTTCTTTCACCACTGAGGGCTGCTCGCCTCCTCCCCATAAGTGCTGTCCAGTGCAGCAGTGTGGGAGTTGACCTTGTCTGGGAAGACCGAGGCAAAAAAAGCATTGAGTACTTCAGCTTTTTCCACATCATCTGTCACTATGTTGCCTCCCCCATTCAGTAAGGGTCCCATGCTTTCCCTGACCACCTTCTTGTTGCTAACATACCTGTAGAAACCCTTCTTATTACCCTTTACATCCCTTGCTAGCTGCAACTCCAATTGAGCTTTGGCCTTCCTGATTATATCCCTGCATGCTCCAGCAATATTTTTATACTCCTCCCTAGTCATCTGTCCTTTCTTGTAAGCTTAGATTTGTGTTTAAGTTCACCGAAGGTTTCTCTGTTAAGCCAAGCTGATCGCCTGCCCTATTTGCTATTCTTTCTGCACATCAGGATGGTTTGTTCCTGAGCTCTCAATAAGGCTTCTTTAAAATACAGCTAGCTCTCCTGCACTCCTTTCCCCCTCATATTAGCCTCCCGGGGGATCCTGCCCATCAGTTCCCTGAGGGAGTCAAAGTCTGCTTTGCTTTTCTGAAGTCCAGGGTCCGTATTCTGCTGCGCTCCTTTCTTCCTTTTGTCAGGATCCTGAACTCGACCATCTCATGGTCACTGCTGCCGAGGTTGCCACCCACTTCTACTTCCCCTACCACTTCTTCCCTGTTTGTGAGCAGCAGGTCAAGAGGAGCACAGCCCCTAGTTGGTTCCTCCAGCACTTGCACAGGAAGTTGTCCCCAACACTCTCCAAAAACCTCCTGGATTGTCTGTGCACTGCTGTATTGCTCTCCCGGCAGATGTATCTGTCTTCATTTACACACATTCAAAAAACAAATCCTGTTAATATGTTTAATAACTTAAGTATTGATCAGGTGACCCAAAAGTCCGATAAGAAATATATTATTGGTGTTAGTGAGCTGGAAATAAACAAAATCCCACTACAGTTTCTTCATAACTCGGGCAGATAGAGGTGCTGCTGTGTTCGCATGTGCAAAAAATGAGTTTGTTAATTAAACATACGCATTAAATATTTAGAGAGTGGACACCACCCTTATTGTTTCTACCAGCAGATACATGGATCATAGTTTAAATTATGATTTCAGGCCAAAGTCAAGGGTACATTATAGCATTCAGGAAAATTCTGTGCTAGTAGGTTCTATGTTTGAAGAGACTGTTGCTATTAGAATACTCTTAAAACATTGAAATCAATGGTCATGCATTGTTAAGTAAATCAAAAAATTTTGAAATCAATAACTTCCGGTTGCAAAATAATGTAGTTTGAAAGAGTTAACAATAAAAACATTCCATATATCCTGACGTTTACAGAGGGCTTCTAGTTTGTGCTGCATCACTCTACCCAGGCGAGCAAATGTGATGAAATGAGATTTAGAATCAGTTACGCTTTAGAGATGATTCCATCCATCCCAACATCCTAACGCTCCTCTGGGTATCATCTCGTACTTCTCTCTTTCTGGTTACTTCACTTGGTTGTGAATTGGGATGTTAGTTACCAGGTTAAATGGTCCTCATTTATACATGTGCTCAAGAAGGGCTCAGGACTAAATTAGAAGAAGCATTTAGATGAGAGGCCTATGGGCAGAAGTAGGAGAGCATTGCCCAACAATATACCTGACTCTAAGGAGAGGGGCCACATTATCATGAGTATTAAATTCACTAAATACTGTATGTATTTAATGACTAACATTAACATGAAGAAAATGAATAAGATGAGGTTAATCCTTTATCTCTGCTGTCTTTCCCATGTTAATTCTGGGAGAAATTTGTTCAGGAGAGTTTCCCCTGAGTGCACCCCTATACTGCTCAGGTCTTAGACTGCTTACAGAAAATATATTAAACGCTTGAATGGATTGTTAGAAGATACCTTATCGTGTACTTTGTAATAGTTTCAATCATGGTTGGCCTGTAGTAATCCGTTACCCTCTTTGTTTGGCACAGATGTGGATGCAAATAGAGAGCTACCCCTAACACAGCCACCTTCTGCTCACTCGTCAATCACGAGTGGAAGCTGCCCTGGAACGCCTGAAATGCGCAGACGCCAAGAAGAGGCCATGCGGAGACTCGCCGCGCAGGTATTGAAAGAGTTTCTTGATGACCTTTTCTGGGAGTGTGTCCTGTTTAATTACCGAAATTGTCTTAGTATACATCACACAATGTGGATATTGACAGAGGACAGTGAGTATGCAAATGCTTACGAGAGAGGGTATGGGGAAGACCTTCCAGGCCAGTTTTATTACCCCAGAAAATCTATTTCTCTTTACAATGAAATTCCCGAAACATCAAGAGTTCATCTCGTACTCTGAGGGTTAATCTTTCACAGCTACCAGGCAGCATACTGAAGGCTGTAAAGCATGTCATAATACAACAGGGTTACCATAGTAATTATTCCTCTTTCTTGAAGAATGGAGTGAATTCCAGATGAAATTGCTGAGTGAGTGTCCAGTACTTGCTTTTGTAAGAGATAATTGCTTGGGTTGCATGACCTCTTGGATGAAGATGTAGAATGTGAATTGTTCTGCTTTGTGGGATACTTGCACCTTTTTGGGTAACGTCCACATAAACAGATCAGAACTCTCCAATAAGTGATTTGCACATCAGTTGCTATATTGACTGGAAAGGATTATACATCATGTTACCGTAGGTTGACATTTACATCCTGGGTTATATGGAACCTTTAAGATACAGCCCTGCTTTGCTGATGGTGTGAAAGTGGCAAGATACTGCTAAGAACTGTGGGGAGCTTTGCTGCTGCTACTCTTTTTTAAAGGGTGCATGCAGTTTGTGCTTTCCTATTCCCTGCTCCTGCACTGGGGAGGAAAATGTCCAGCAAACTCTTCGTGCTAAATCAGGGGCGGGCAAACTTTTTGGCCTGAGGGCCGCATTGGGCTTCTGAAATTGTATGGAGGGCCAGTTAGGGGAGGCTGCCCCTCCCCAAACAGCCAGACGTGGCCCAGCCCCCACCCCCTATCCGACCCACCGTCTCTTGCCTCTTGACGGCCCCCCCGGGACTCCTGCCCCATCCAACCCCCTTGTTCCCTGACGGCCTCCCAGGGACCCCTGCCCCATCCACCCCCCTGCTCACTGTCCCCCACCCGCCCCTGGACCCCTCGCCCCATCCAACCCCCCCTCCTTCCTGACTGCGCCTCCCCCACCCCCGGGACCCCTGCCCCATACAATGACCCCGTCTCCCTGACCGCCCCTGGACCCCCTGCCCCTAACTGCCCCCCGCCCCTAACTGCCCTCCACCGCCCCATCAAACACCCCCTCTCCTTCCTGACTGCCCCTCTGGGTCCCCTGCTCCCATTCAACCCCCCGTTCCCGGCCCTCTGACCGCCCCGGCCCCTATCCACACCCCCGACCACCACCCGAACTCCCCTGCCCTCTATCCAACCCCCCCCCACCCCGCTCCCTGCCCCCTTACCGCGCTGCCTGGAGCACCGGTGGCTGGCGGCGCGGCTGCACCAGGACAGGCAGCGGCGTCGCCCGACTGCAACCAGCCACGCACCGCGCAGCACAGAGCACCGGATCAGGCCCCGGCTCTGCAGCTGCGCTGCCCCAGGAGCTCACAGCCCTGCCGCCCAGAGCATTGCGCCGGCGGCGCAGTGATCTGAGGCTGTGGGGAAGCGGGACAGCAGGGGAGGGGCCGGGGGCTAGCCTCCCGGGGCAGGAGCTCAGGGGCCGGACAGGACGGTCCCGCGGGCCGGATTTGGCCCATCTCTTTGCTAAATGATTGCCAACACTTACTTTGCTTGGCTTTGGAACCAGGTATAATCTTGCCCGCTATTTGTTTTACATAGCACCCAGATGGCAAGGCAAAGAGTGTGTGGTGAATGGCTATATAAATAAATATTAGAACTTTCACAAATGTTCTCCTCTTCCACATATGGCTCTTGGAAAGGAATGCAACTGCCAGCTCTGCATTGTTCAGCATACATTAGTCATTCTGTTCCTTGAACGTTGTACACGCCGCACGCTGTCAGAACGGCCAGTCAGAGAGTGTTCTCTCTCCTAAAATATCTCCTTTAGTGAAAGGTTTTTTTCACTGAGTTCTCAAATAATCCTGCTGGATATGTAACTGACAAATGGATATATTTTTAGCTCCAATCTGCTCCTTTCCTTAAAAAGAATATAACTTTACAAAAGCCAAAGTGTGTGACTTGGGGCTAGTCTACACTGGCAACGTTAAAGCGCTGCCGCAGCAGAGCACTCTAAAAAACCCACCTTCACGAGGGGCGCAGCTCCCGGCGCTGGTGCACTGTCTACACTGACGCTTTACAGTGCTGAAACTTGCTGCGCTCGGGGGGGGGTTCACATCCCTGAGCAAGAAAGTTGCAGCGCTGGAAAGTGCCAGTGTAGACAAGCCCTTTGTTTCAACCAGTGTGGCACATCCCACTTCACATCCAAAGACTGTGGCTTTTCTTTTGGCATTTTGGATCAACTAGGGAGAAAAGAGAAACAAGTCATGGTTTTTAGGCCAAAAAAATCTGACCTGCAGTATCTTGGCTATGGCCCCATTTGGAAGGACTTTTAACGCCCAATCCATCCTCCGCTGAAAATTCAACCAAAAAAAAAAAGGAAAAGCTGATATGTTATTTGCCATCAGACTAACTAAAAGGCAAAGGACGTACCCGACCACCTATTGTAGCAGTTTTGCATCTGTTAGTTTGTTCAGTTGTTAATCTGACAGTAAATCTTATCTTGACTATTGTAAACATGGACTGATTCCAAAACTAACTATCACTGGATTCCAAAGCATACTGTGTCCTCTCGAGGTGACCAGTGCTTAGGTTGATTAGTTGACCTTTACGTCTTTGGCAGCATCCATTAAAAAAAAAAAAAAAACAGCTGATACTTCATGGAAAATGAAACAATTCTCGTGACATGTCAGAGATTTAATTTCTTTCTTTCATTAGGCCCTAATTCAGAAAAATCCTATTTTTAGTACATTACAATAACTTCCACAGCCGGTCATGGAGAACGTCACGGACATCAGAGGTATGATCATCTGCAGGCCTTATCAAAAGCAAGATCTAATAAATGATTGAAGTTAGCAGGAGCTGCTTATTTGGAGTAGGAGGGCAACCACCATCAAGATAGCCTGTGTGCGTGTCACTATCCTGAGTAATTTTTAAAGAAATACAGAAAAGAGATGAGACATTAAATAGCCCTAAGTACTGATATTCCAGCTCTTTGCCGGTGGCAGGGATATTGTCAGTATACAATGTACAGCACAATAAAGAAAAATAACCTGCCCATTATGAAAGCCCATGAATAAAAGAGTAAAGGTTTAAGTAATTGTTGACATAGGCTACAGAAATCGGGGATGAAAACATGCCATCAGCATCAACTCTTCCAAATCCCTCCTTCAAATTAACTTCTCCCCAGGAGCTTATAGGTCGTGAGTTTATAATAATAGAAGCAAAAGGCCCATGATTCCTTCCTCTGGATTTTCCAGTGTGTACTGTCTTCTCTATGGCTGTTTTCAGACTGTGAGCTCTTTGGGGCTGGAGCTGCCTTTATCTTTGACTTTGTACCGATTTTGATCACATTGGCAGCATTAAATTAATAATAAAAAGTATCAGAGAGAGCGCCATGTGAGCTTATCGTTTATTTTAAGTTTCTTTGCCGTACTGTTAGGGAGCAGCTTTTCACTGTACTCTGAGGGAGCAGTGTGAAGTCTTTCATGATTTATAGTCCCGTAGTCATCAGGGAGAAGAAAAATCCTTAGAAATAAGCCAATTTAGACAACTAGCAAGCAGATCTCCTATTTCCCATGGAAAACTACAGAAGAAAATGAGTTATTGGGTTCTGAAAGCACTTCCTTCCCCTCAGCACTTGCACAGAAGTTACCTGAAATTAACTGCCCCAAAAACAAAGCTGTTATCAAAAGCAAAAATTGTCAGATACAATGGGCATTATCCTGTTCCCATTGAGCTCTGGCAAGACTCCCACGGAGGTCTCTGATTCATCAATCCCGCGCTTCGATCATACAGTTGAGACTTTGGCACAGGAATAACTACCATGGAGGGAAAGGTTGCTCCTCTTTGGGGATTTCAGTGATTCCCTGAAGTGGTTAAGGAAAATAAAGATCTGAAACCAAATTTAAAGTGTATTAGAAATACCAAACTGTCAAGCTACTTGTTTGGCTCTAAAAACCCTGAATTGCTGTGATCTTTTTTGGAATTTTTCTCTGAAACAGGCTCACTGAATCCATCTAAGCCTTTGCAAGAGGAAACAGAGAGATGACCACTCTGTAAGGTTCATGGACAAAAATACTGAAAACGTAATGCCACTGTGTATCAGGGTGACACCCTCCCTAGGCGCACTGCATTCTGTTACCCTCCAAACATCATTAGTTATGGAGGTTTGTGTTTGGAAGGTGCTATTGTAGTAAAGGGAGTGCTGGAAGGCTGACATCCTTTGCACAATGGGGTGTGTGGTCTGTGGTGTTAGTCATTTTGGAAGTGGTAAGACATCTCCCTGCGGCTGGAGAAGTAGAGGGTTAAATGGCTTAACTATTCATTACCTTGCTTTTGTGGTTTAGTGAAGCTTGTTATGTGTATAGCAACCTTAACTTTCCCAACAAAGACTTTTGTGAATTAATTTCCTAGTTTTCTTTAAATGTAGCATTAAATGGCTCACCTACATGGAAATCAGAACAATCCCTACTTCTCTGCCGCCTCCCCTCCCCCAGCTTCCCCAGCCTGGGAATAACAGCCAATGGCATTAGCAGTCTCAGGCCAGTGAACTTCCCATGATTCTTTGCAGAGGGGCTTTCCCGAGATGAACCATGAGAAGTTTGTTAGACCCCAAGGCCTGACTCAGTAATGAAGCTCAGAGCGCTGCTTGTCAGGGGAGATTGCCTGCCTCATTCCTCCACCCCCCTGCAGTTGAGATATGGGGAGAAGAGACAGGTGAGGATTGCAGAGAAAGAGAGCAAGGGAAGCTGTATTGCCAAATACAGGCATTCAAAAACCCTGGAACAGACTGCTCAGAATCATGAGACTGGCTTGGAAAAATCATAACCTTTTAAAAAGACATATGTGTCTTCATCTGCCTTCTGATTTTTGAG